TAGTGAGAAGGAGGAGAAGAAGCAAAAGGATAGTGAGAAGAAGGAGAAGAAGCAAAAGGATAGTGAGAAGAAGAGTGAGAAGAAGAACAAGGAAAAGAAGAGCCAGGAGGAGGCAGGCGAGGGTAAGGTTTCGCAGGAGACAAAGGGAAAGGACAAGAAAACGAAGACGACAGATGGAGAAGAGCCAAAGGAGAAGAAGACTTTCGATGACAAGGCTGAGTCTTCGAAAAGGGGATCGTTCCCAGCGCCAAGAACTCCACCCCCAAAGAGAGTCAGGATGAAGTCCCCTGCTGGCAGCTCTCTTAGTGTTGCAACTGATGCCAGCAGCACTCGCTATGCATCTAGCCAGGAGAAGGCAGAGCGGCATTTCGAGAAGATGAAGTTGAATGGCAGCTTGGACGAGGCGCTGAAGGAGGCAGAGGAGGACGGCGATGATATTTTGGACCTGCTGGGTGGTCTGTCTTCTGGAAGGCAGTTGGCAGACCCTGGCCAGACTGCTGAGCTGAAGGAGGAGCAGCGGCGAGTAGCAAAGGAGTTGAAGAAGAAAGAAAAGGGAGAAGAAGAAGAAGAAGGCGACGATGATAGCTCCTCCACCAGTGAGAGTGAGGACGGAGAGGACGCTGAAGGTGATGGAAGCGAGGCGGAGGAGGAGGAGGAGGAGGATTTGTTTGGCTCTGCTGATGAGGGCGCTGGTGACCTAGTTGAGGAGGGCCAGTCTGACGGAGAAGAATGTGAAGACCAGGACGAAGAAGAAGAAGAGGAGGGGGATGGAGAGGGACTGCCAGAGGAGGAAGAAGAAGAGGAAGAAGGAGATGAAGAAAAGTCAGGAGCAGAGGCAGAAGAAGGAGAGGCAACAGAGCTGGAAGAAGAAGGAGAGGGAGAAGAGGAAGAGGAGGAGGAAGACGACGAAGAAGCCGAAAGCGAAGAGGATGAGGAGGAAGCTGAGGGGAAGGAGGAGAAAACAAAAGGAGCGTTGGCAGCGGCGGTTCAGAAAACCAAAAGAAACAGCGACTTTCCTCCATTTGCTTTTGCATGTTTTTGTATTGCTTCAGTCAATACATGTGAAAGAATATCTTATGGCACTTCCACTCAAAAGCTTTTTGAAAGGCCTGTTGCATTTCCCAAACCCTAGTCAGTAGTTCCAGCAGCAGCCAAGGCAAAACCAACAAGACCGAATGGGACAAGTTTGACCGCCAGATCAAGTCGCCTCAAGGGGGCTTCCCTGCATCCCTCAGGCCAATGCTGAAGGGGTCGAAGAAAACAGACCTGTTCAACTTATGGTTGGACCATGGTGGTGAATGGGACAGTGTGGCGTGCGCTGTTGAGCGGGCGCAGGAGACTGTGAACCTCTCACGAAAGGAATGGGTTGCTATCCAAGCCAAAACCTTAAAGGAGCGGCTTCCAGAAGCCAGGTTCACCGAGTTGATCCGCAAGCGGATGGAAGCGGGGCTCTTCTACAAAGATGATGACTTCCCAGAAGATGAGCTGGACTGGTGTTCTGAAATGTATTCCTTTCACATTCTTTTTCAAAAAGCACTCATCCCACTCCTTTTCTTGTGTATTCAACCGGTGCCCGCCCCTTATCCTTTCCGTGACCTACCCCTTTTCAGGAGAACTGGATATACATGCCCAGTGGGAGAATGCTTCGCCGCGACGACAAGACCAGCGAAACCCTGAAAGCTACAGCTAGCAGGAACCTTGATCAACCATTGCTGGACGCCTTGACATGTGACGAGACAGGAGTTCTCCCGGCAGGCGCCCTGCCTGGCGTCAAGGCCGCGTCAGAGGCCGGCCAGCGCGCAGTGCTGCAAGCCCTGCAGGGCGACGACAGCAAAGTTGAAAAGCTCAAGCAGCGAAGAAAAGAGAAGGAAGCTGAGCCAGTGGAACCAAAGACTACTTTGATGCCAGGGCCTCAAGGGGGCACTAGAGAATTTTTATGCTGGCCTTAAAGTCACGCCTAAAGTCTTCTTAGCTGTGCAGGAATTCGTCATCGAAAAATGAGCTTGGTAGATGTCCCAAGTATCTTCCAAACCACGTACTCTCCCAACCGTGTGCGCAAGCCTCACCAAGCTTCGTTGCTCTGCCCAGGAAAGGCCAAGAGAAGCTCCAGCAAGTCCTTGACGAAGCGACAAAGGCTCGTTCCAAGTCCATCCAGCTCAAGGGTCTAGAGTTCGCTGATCAGCTTGCTGGAGAATTACTCAAACACGCTGAAAATATGGAGGGTCTCTACTCAGACCTGAAGAAGCGTGTTCAGAGCCAGCCACCCGATGAGCCTGGCATCACTACTTTTCTTGCAAAGATTGAAGCCAAGCAGAACTGGTTCAAGAAAGCTGAGGTGAGGGTCAACAAACGCACAATACCCTTTTGATTAATATTTCTTTCACCATCTCCAATATTATTCTTTTCAGAACACATGCCAATCGCCTTACTGTATTGGGGTTGGGGGTTACGCTTCCCTGATCAGGCATCGGCTGCTGGGATCTTGAAGGGCAATTCTGAGAAGCCAAAGCGCTCCACAAAGGGTAAGGGCAAGGGTAAGGCTTCAGCCGCGCCATAGGAGCTCTTCAGCCCTTTAGGTTTCTTTTCTGGGGTTTGCCATGCTTGAAGCAGCATGGAGGAAATCTGTGAAGATTTGGACACAATCTGAAGATTGTCACGCCGTGTGAAAAGCCTTTCGTGTGGCTCTGTGTAGCTACCAGTAAAGACATGTAAAGGAGGAACCGTTCCACCAATTCAAAGCCACACCAAAGATACTGTTATGTTAATTCAGATCATGTTATCAGTTATCATCCAGTCAAGGAATGGTGCCACAGTGCTTGTTTTTGGTCTTTACTGGGCCGGCTTTGCCAGGTGAAAACGCAAAAAGAAGGAAAACACTGGAGCCGATTTCTTGGGGCGAGAGCTCAGTCTTAGACAAGCTTTTGGAGCTGGTGGGCAGGGGTGATGCCCATGTGCAAACTGCAGCTGAAATTGCCCGGGCTGTGGATCGGGATTCAAACAATTCTGCGCATCCGAAACTCCAGCAACTTGCTGCCTGTGGTGCCTATGGTAAATGTGATGGAAACACGGAGAGAGATTTCCAACGACTTCTTCGAGGGTCTAATGGATTCAACCTGGAGCCTTACACCATCACCTTGACACTGCAGGCTTTTTGGAAAGACTTCAATATTTGTTTGTTCCTGATCAACCCCCTAGTGACCGCCGACTCCAGCACCTTGCCATCCCAGAAACCGAAATCGTGCGCTCCCCAGGTTGAAAAAGATGAAGATCCTGTGCCGGTGCAGGCAAGTGTGTTGCTGCCGCACGAAGTCTTTGGTGCTTTGAGTGATATGGGGGAAGCGAAGGTGGGGGGCTCAAAGTCACATTCACATGACAGTTTTTCCCTTCAAACCAAAACCCTTTCCCTTGTCCCTGCCAGTTTCGCTCTATCATGTGTGGGAGCCACGATGGCAAATCCATCTCAAAGTTCTGGCAACATCTCAAGACCTTACCGGACTATAAATATCATCGTGTGCTTCATGAGCTTGCGGAGGAGGACCTACAACGAACAATCCCCTTTTCCATTCATGGTGATGGGGCTGAGTTTCACAGACACAGTGAATACTTTGTGATGAGCTGGTCTAGCGCTTTTGGGGCTGGCGCTGGACATGACTGCCTAATGAGTCGCTTCCCAATTTCTCTTGTTGCAGAAGTCCAGATGAACGATGAACAGGATTCTTGACATGGATAGCGCAAGTGGCAAAAGACCCCAAACTTCAAAGGCTTCCCCAATGGCTCAGGCGAGGGCCCAGCCGGGCCCAGTGCAGTCTCTTTAATATGGTCTTTTGCCATTATGGTCTTTTGCCACTACGCTTTGATGAGATCACCCCACAAACTGGGAACGCTATGATATTCTTTCCCTGCCAAAAACCAAAACCTCTCGATGTCTGCCCACTCACGCCATATGAGGTCCGAAGGGGCGTCAACAAAACACTCGCTGACTTGGTGGCATGGTCACTCCACTGCAGTGGTCAGGGAATATATCCAAGCCGTGGATTTTACGGTGAGTGCTTTGACAAGGGCTCTTTCAGGTCTTCCCGGTGTGGGCAACCAATTGCACAGGGATACAGGTCGAGGGTCCCTAAAACTTTGTGTGTTTATCACGCAATCACAAAAGTGTGCAGTGTGCATTTCTTTTGATTGCTTGCCCTGATCGAGGCTCATTTACATGACTTTCAAAGCTGACCTCAAAGCGAGGATGCAATGCCACCTACTAGACAATTACTACAGGTGCAAGAAAGTTTGCGATCGGTGCGGCGCCATTCAACCCATGGATTCACGGCCTCATCCTATGACATATAAGAACACTGCCAAAGATGCACCGTACGCTCGAACTTGCAAGGACCACGATGCATACATGGCAGCAGCAAGGCATCCAACCCCGTGGTGCGCAGTGGAAGGGTTTCAGTTTGAGACCATATCGTTTGACACGATGCACCTGATTTATTTAGGCATAGCCAAGAACCACGTTCCTTCATGCCTCAAGATATTGAAACTTTGGGGGTTTTACTATGAGTCTTCTGATGAGACCAATGAGAAGTTCCTGAAGCGGGTTTCCATCGAGATGAAGCAGGATTGCAAAGAACACAGGTTCCTAGTATGGCCACTTAGCCGTTCCTTTTGTCTAGTTTTCTAGTTCTTAGTTATAATGTTCCTCGGGTTTGCAGCCTGGTGTTTGTATTCGACGCTATTCGACTTTCGACATTGGTCAATCGAGGCTTTACTTGCCAAAGAGAGTCCTGACTCTTGCCAACTGTGGGTCTTTTGGGACAGAGGACTATTGCGAATTGGGCTCCAGATTTAAGGCCGCTCATATCCGAGTGATGGTGTGGTGGGTTGCATTCAAGGTTCGCCAACTCACCAACAATACTGCTCCTCAATTTGGAACATTATACAATTGTATTATGTATTTTATGCCAGTGTATAGGTTGGGAAAACCGCAATCGCCTTGGCCCCGTGTGCGCCAAGTGTCGTCCCAGGAAGATCAAGTTCTCCGGCTCCTTGCAGCTTGCAGCTATTCCTTGGCGCAGGCTCAGGATCTGATGGACAGCGCTGGTCTCATATTGTCCCCATGAGGCAGCCGTCGCATGCCTACACTGCGATCTTTCATGATCTTTCAATGGTTTTTTGCCCCAACCCCTCCTAGCATGTCTGAATACGTGCGAATCAGCTCAGGAAATTTCGAGGATGTTGCGGGTCCACCTTCGGTCGACTGAGTTCTTGGCATCGATTTGCTGGGAAAACTCAATCATGGCATTTAAGATGAGACCGAAGCATCATTATGTTTGGCACATTGCAAACGACGTCTTGACATCAAGACTAAACCCACGATTGCATCATGTTTGGTCTGATGAGAAATTTCTCGGCTGCATCAAAAAGGTAGCATGCCGATGTCACGGGAGTTCAGTGCAGAAGAGAGCAATTGAAAGATATTTGGTTGCTCTGTCTGGTTACCTGGCCAAAATGGCCTAAGGTTGGTGCCAGTTCTGGTCCATAAGACCATGGAACAAATTGACCTGGCAAAGCAAAAAGCAATGATTCTTGCTTAACTTAGCTGGATACATTCAGTCTGGCACTGATGGGGTTTGAGGTCCGAATGGGCCGCTGCGGGGTTTTCGCAGCCAAGAAACGAAAGAAGCAGCAAACGATGAGAAACATGCAGCTT